ACAATCCGAGTTACAAGGCATGTGCTTAAGAACTTGCATAGTGTACTATGAGAAGGTATATAGGAAAAACAAAAGCCTTTGGATCCTTCTGTACATTTTAAAGTAGAAATTAGAGTATGAAATTGGTGGAAATGGAACATAACAAATAATGGGATATGTTTGAATGTGCTGTTGAAGTAACTCTCAACTTGTCTTAACTTAGCTCTGAACCAATTCCTCTATATCCAGAATAAATGCCAAATTCGTTTTATGGTTTGGTTAAGTATCTTCGTTGGATTCGACTCCACCCATGGAGAAAAGGGGGCCTACCTTGACAGTGGTATTTTCATTGAGGGACCCACACATCTGATAGGGTTGTGACTCACTAAATCTTGCTCTTATATAATTTGTCATGACTTGGTAATTCAAAATTTTAATATATTAGATGGAGAATCCCTCCCCCTCCCCCCTCTCATTGCATTCGACTCCACCCATGGAGAAGGTGGGGCCAACCTCAACAGTGGTATTCTCATTGAGAGACCCACACATCTAATAGAGTTGTGGCTCACTAAATTTTGCTCTTATATAATTTGTCATGACTTTGTAACTCAAAAATTTAATTTATTAGATGAAGAATCCCCCTCCCCTCCCCCTTATTGCATTTGACTCCACCCATGGAGAAGGGGGGGGCCCTACCTCGACAGTGGTATTCTCATTGAGGGACCCACACATCTGATAAGGTTGTGACTCACTAAATCTTGCTCTTATATAATTTGTCATGACTACGTAATTCAAAAATTTAATCTATTAGATGGAGAATCCCTCCCCCTCCCCCTCGACTCCACCCATGGAGAAAAGAGGGGCCTACCTCAATAGTAGTATTCTCATTGAGGGACCCACACATCTGATAGAGTTGTGATTCATTAAACTGTACTCTTATACAATTTGTTGTGACTTGGTAACTCAAAAATTTAATCTATTAGACAGAGGAAGCCCCCCAAAAAAAAAAATGCAAATGTTATAAGTCTATATGACACTCCAATTAACCGATGTGGGATTCTTTACAAGGGTATGCTAAGATGTTATTTTAAGAACATGTGAAAGTCGTTGGATCTAGAGTAATGAAATAGGATGTGGTAGAACAACTTTTTTAACAGTATATTGGAAAGAAAAACTTTCCACGTTAATGCTTGTAGGTTGTCTGTTGTCACACATCATTGATGGTGTCCCCCTACCACTTTCAATGCATTTGCTAACACATCATTGGGGTTTTATTAGTTTCTCGTCTTCAAATCTTTATGTTTAAACTGTAAATTTAGACATTCATACTTAAAAGTGTGTTTTTTTTTTTTGTCAATGATAAGCGTGGAATTGGAGGGTTAGGGCATGTTGGGTTGCAATGGTATGGGGGAAGAAAAAATCGCGAGCGAAAAATGGTTTCTGAGAAGGGGGAGGGGGATTTATGGGGAGTGGGAGTTCGTCGGTGATTGAAGAGGGGGATGGAGGAGGTGGTGGAGGGTTTTGATTCAATCGGGGTTTGATTTTGTTTTCAATGAATCAATTTTTTCTTCAAAGCTGAAAGAAAGAAATTATTTGAATCACTTTTAAACTAAAGGAGTGTTGTTTTAATTATGCCGTTTGGAAAAACAGTGACGTGGTAGAGTTTTTTGTCTAGACTCGTTTAAAACAAAAGGAGCCACCATAACTATATGCACAATGATTTGATTTTGGTGCATACAGCAACGAAGCAAAGCGCGTAAGCCCTTCTTAGAGATAGGGGGTGGCTTGGTACAAGTTGGGTCAAGGACTATAGTCAAGTCAATCGCTGCTTCGCCTGTCCGCGTATTTTTCTGATCTCCTTTCCTTCTATTCATTAGGGTGGCATATCATAAACACAACTGTGCGTGGTTAAATGACATACTAAATTGCATAATTTGTTTACTAACAACCCTTAGTCACCTGACTTCTACAATTGAAGTCGTTTCTTGATTCTTTCTTCTACTACAATTTGTAAAGTTCAAGTACCAATAAAAGATTTTTGATTACTAGTCGTAATTAACTTTTTTATTGCTGTTATTACAATGTTAGCGAGAAACTTTTAAAAATACAAAGAGAAAAGTAGAGTGGTCGAACGCTCATTGAAAGAAAGAAAGAAAGAGTTGGTTGAATCAATTCCATCTCCTTTTTTCCACCCAAGCTTGCAGTTGTTTGGTGAAATCCCCCCTCTAACCTCCGCCCTGCAATAGTGAATTGTTGTTGATCCACTAATTCCAGTAGCATGACGAGTAGTTCTAATGACAACCACTTATTTTAATATATATATAATATTAGAAGAATAATTATAATTGACTGAAACATCACATATTTTGTTTTTATCGCTATTTTTTTTTTCCGAAAAGTAAAATGAATTGTAAAGTAATACGAGTATATTGCTATTTTTGCATGGGAAAACGTTGGTTATCAAAAAAAAAAAAAATCTAAGCAATGTGTTTGTAGGCGGGGCTCATTGGTTTTTTTTTTCAAAGAAAATGAATACTCACTATCCCTTACCCCCAAAAAAAATAAAATTAGAGGGGTAAATATGGGAATTCATTAAAACCAAAGGTCATATCCCAAAGGGGCCCTCAATTGTAATTTTTTTCCCATTATTGGTGCTTCATGCCTTTTCTGTGGATTTGACTCCACAATTAACCAAAATAGACTACTGCCTGACGTCCGTCCTCTACTACATACATTATCTCTCCTTATCTCATTGGCGGACTCCACACCCCATTCAAATCCACTTTGCTTGAACCGATAAGGGCTGGTTACCGAAGTCAATCCTTTGCTGGGTGCATAGGAGGTCGGAGATCACTCCGAAGAAGGTTGAACAAACTTCTCAAATGTCTAAGAGAAGAAATTCACAGTCTAAGAAGGACAAAGAGTATCAATTTTTTAGTAACTCAGTTATAATAAATAAAATAACTTTCACAAGTATTAAATTAAATTTATAATAAAGAAAAAAAAGAGATATTATACTTAGACTTATTAATCGTGTTAAGCCTAGCGGATTCGCGTCAAAAAATATTTTATACTTATTCAATTTATTTATTAATTTATATATAATAAATTATATTATATCGAGTTTGTATCGTATATAAATTATGTATAATCAATATATAAACGAATTATATCATATATTTTTTTTGATTAAATTTACTCATATCTGATCCGTTTATTTATTGTGTTATATCGAATTTGCTCATTTACGAAATTGATAGTTTATAAAATATTCAAATTTTATAATTTTATATTGTGTTCGTACGATATTTTCGACACCCGAAATGGTACCTACCTTAGTCACCCGCTCAACCGGTCGCCACCTCCTTGGACATTAACTTCTCCAAAAACCATTGGATACAATAGTTGTTGTCGTACAAATAATTAATAAATATTGCTTAATTAGTAGAGTTTAGTAATTTTATATATTAATTATAATTAGCTAGTGGTTTAATGTGTCAATGATGTTTACAATTGAATTTAAATATTATTCTTACCTACTTAATCTTAGGATTAATTATATTTGGTACCCTAAACCATGGTCTTATTTTTTATAATATTTGGTTATAAAAAATTTGAGATTATATCCTAACATATGATAGTTATTTATTTTTTAAAAAAACAAAAAGTATTATCTTTTTTGAAGGAAAATAGCAACGTCTTCTACAAGCGATTATTTTCAAAACTTTTTTTGTATCTACCAAATAATATTATTATTGATGGTTAAATTATATCAGGGCGGATAACTACTGTTCATACTTGATAACAATATTTCTTAATTGATCATAAATATACTCAATTAATTGTAATTTGATATCTAAATATTATATTTTTTAGTAATTAATCACACAATATTTTAGATTCAATAATGACTTTTTAAATAGTAATTTAGACCCTTTTAAATTATAACTTAAATCTCAATATATTATAACTTGCTCATTAAGTAATATAATTTTCAATTCACTTCGAAATAGAAGTGTGGTTGATTTTTTCTCCCTTTAATTGTGTTCATATATTATCCCTTTATTTTCGGTATTGTAAAAGAAAATGACATGTGAGAATTATTGTCCGAAATAAAAGTGGTAGATAGTGGGAAACAGGGACGAAAACAAGATTTTTATCTTGAGGTGGGTGGGTCAACAACAACGCGAGCAAAAATTTAATTTAATAGGTTTATTTAATGATCATTGTCAATGATAAATATTTATTTATGAAAATTTATTAAATTTAATTTTTTATGCAATGACAGCGAAATTTTTTTTTGAGCACAAAAATCAAAAGTGATTCATGTCATCATAAAAATTCATTTGTGATAATTTCTTTTTTTTTTTCTTGTTTATAATATAACCTTATGTCTATAAATAAATCAAAATCACAAATAATATTTTAATATGATATCATAATAAAAATTAATTATAAGTCAACCAACTATTTTTAATATAAACTATATTTGTATTCTTATTTATTTTATATAAAAAAAGTCACTTATTTTTTTTTCTATAACATCAAAATAATCTAACAAATATCTTCGTCTACTCATCCATGATTACTAAATATTAAATCATTTATATTTTTGAATATATTATGTGAGATATTTATGCATTGAGTGTTTTAAAAAGTTAGGAGTTAATAATAATTTTTTAAAAAAATATAAAAAAAATAATGAAGATTTTTAAGATTTAAGAGGCCATGGTCCCAGAGGCCTCGTCATAATTCCGTCTCTAGTAGGAAGCCATCAAAGACATAACACAATTTTTTTAAAAAAAGTAATAGAAAAGGGGATAAAATGGGATTACACTCATAATGTAGTGGTGTCAAGTGTACTTTATCCTTAGTGAAAGAAGGATTAAGTGTAATTTAGCCTAACTTTCAAATATCTCCATCCTTCAGTCTCATTTCCACTTCATTTCGTGTGAATTTCAACGCCATTTCCATCTCCATTTCATTTCATTTCAATTTCAATTTCAATTTCGAAAACGTTACTCTCTCTCTCTCTCTCAATCCCAGCCTTCGCTTTCAGTTTCTCTCTCTATATCAGCCTATACAAGCACAGATTTCCTCTGTCTGTCTCTCCCCCTCGGTGGTATCGAATAAGGGCGAGGTTATCAAGATCGAATATCAACATCTGTGTGTGTTTGTTTATATGTGTATCTATCGTTTTCGAGTGAACTTTGAAGAATAGGGAAAGCGGAAGAGGAAGACGATTTACTTCCGATTCTCTCAGCACTGTTGCTTCCAACGTTCTCTCTACTGATCCATCTGTGGATGAGTGAAAATCTTATACACTTATCAGTTTGTGTTTCTTCAGATCCGTCAAGTTCCTCATTAATCTTAGAGCTGACTTTACTTGGAGATCTTAATCATACGTGAGTTTGTTCGATCATCTCTCTCTCTCTTACTGATTTTTTGTTTAATTGTTAAGCTTACATCTGTGAATTTGAATTACTATTTTCTACTTCAAGAAGGTTTGATGTTTGAAGTTGTTGATTGTCCATGGTGGTGTTCTTTTTCTTTATTTTACTGGTTAAAAATGTCGGATTTATGTCATTGGTGATGTTGTTTAGTATTAACCTTTGTTTGGTTGTGGAGAAAAAAAGGGAAAATAAAAGAAAACAAAAGTGTGATATTTTCTGAAGAAAGAAACTGGATAACTTTCCCTAGAGTGAGCCTATATTAGTAGGCTAAGTTGGGTGGGAGCTCTCATATTTTTTGGGATCCGTTGGAACTCCTTAGATTAAGAGCCTGATGTCTTCTTTTCCTTGATTTTCTTAGCAATCAAACGGTGAAGGGTTTATGTTTTTCTATTAATTCGTGTGTATCTGCTGTGTTAGATTGATTCTTGGGCTCTTTTGTGGTTGGTTTTGTTGTTGAAATAATGACGCTGCGCGAAAATAGTACTTTTTGGGTGGTTTTGTTATTCTTGTAGATCAATGTTAGGGGCGTTTGGGCAATTTTTTCCCTTTTTTCGCAACATTTCCTTAAAATTTTCCATTGAATTCTAGAATCTGAGCTGTTTGTGTCTTATTTTTTCCGTTGGAGATTCATGTGACATTTGAATATAAAATGGGATTGTACTTTTTTTTCTAATTTAATATATTGTATTGATTGAATTGCAGCTGATTGAAGCATGTGCAGTGGCCCTGATCAATCAAAATCAACATCGACAACGGTAGAGAACAAATCTAACACAAGAGGTATGAGTAAATTAACTGTGGATACTGAGGATTCTTTTTCCAGTTTACTTGAGCTTGCTGCAAACAATGATTTCGAGGTTTTTAAACAATCGATTGAGCGTGATGCTTGTGGAATTGATGAGGTTGGACTTTGGTATGTACGCAAGAAAGGCTCGAAATCTATAGTCCTTGAGCATAGAACTCCCCTAATGGTTGCTGCTACATTTGGTAGTGTTGATGTGTTGAAGCTAATTATCTCCCAGCCTGATGTTGATGTGAATCGCACTTGTGGCCCAGATAAGTGCACTGCCCTTCACTGTGCTGCCTCCGGTGGCTCTGTTAATGCTGTTGACATTGTAAAGCTGCTTTTATCAGTGGGTGCAGATACAAATATTGAAGATGCCAATGGTCACCGCCCGTTTGATGTGATCATTGTCCCTCCAAAGCTCCAAGGGATTAGAGCTGTGCTTGAAGAATTGCTTATTAACAACTTCTCTGATGGCTCAGTTGGCGAAGGCAATTTACGTTTGTCCATCACTACTTCAAACTCCTCCTCGCCAACCCTCTCTTCATCGCCAGAAAATGGGTCCCCATCTTATCCCTCCGAGTCTTTGTCCTCTCCAATGGCATCTAAATTCAGTGATGTTCCTGGAAATTTTACTTCGGAGAAGAAAGAATACCCAATTGATCCATCTCTCCCTGATATCAAGAACAGCATATATTCAACTGATGAGTTCCGTATGTTCTCATTCAAGGTCCGGCCGTGTTCGAGGGCTTACTCCCATGATTGGACTGAATGCCCTTTTGTTCACCCGGGGGAGAATGCTCGCAGAAGAGATCCACGGAAATACCATTACAGTTGTGTTCCTTGTCCTGAGTTTCGCAAGGGCACATGTAGGCGAGGTGATATGTGTGAATATGCTCATGGCGTGTTTGAGTGCTGGCTACACCCTGCTCAATACCGAACTAGGCTGTGCAAGGATGGCACAAGCTGTGCAAGGCGAGTGTGCTTTTTTGCCCACACAGCTGAGGAACTTCGGCCCCTTTATGTCTCTACTGGATCTGCGGTTCCATCTCCTCGGTCATCTGCATTGGCTGCTAGTGCTATGGACATGGCTGCTGCATTGAGCCTCTTACCCGGCTCGCCCTCATCACACACTGTGATGTCTCCTTCTGCATTCAATCATCCCATGTCTCCAACGGCAAATGGAATTTCACACACATCTTTGGGTTGGCCTCAACCAAATGTTCCAACCCTCCATTTGCCTGGAAGCAACCTCCAATCAAGTCGCCTGAGATCTTCTCTTAATGCTCGAGACATCCATCATGAGGATCTTAGTATGTTGCAGGATTTTGAGGCCCAGCAATTAATACTAAGGGATTTGTCATGTCTCTCACAGTCCCGTCCTAGTTCTATTTCTTTGAACCAATCGGGCCGGTCCAAAACACTAATTCCTTCAAACCTTGACGAGCTTTTTTCTGTTGAAATATCCTCTTCGCCCAGGTATTCTGATCAGGCAGCCGCTTCTGGTGTTTTTTCCCCGTCGCAGAAGTCAGCTGTTCTCAATCAGTTTCAACAGCAGCAGAACATGCTTTCTCCAATTAATACTAATGTTTTCTCCCCGAAAAATGTTGAGCACCCGCTTTTGCAGGCTTCCTTTGGTGTCTCATCTCCCGGAAGAACATCGCCTAGAAGTGTGGAGCCCATATCCCCAATGGGTGCTCGGCTCTCTGCGTTTGCTCAACGAGAGACGCAGTATCAACAATTGCGCAGCCTCAGCTCCCGGGATCTTGGATCCAACAATGGCCCCGTTGTCAGGTCTCCTATGAATTCTAGTTGGTCAAAATGGGGATCCCCTAATGGAAAAGTAGATTGGTCTGTTAATGGAGGTGAACCAGGTCGCATGCGGAGGTCAAATTCTTTTGAGCTCAATAACAATGGAGAAGAGCCTGACCTGTCATGGGTCCAATCTCTTGTCAAGGAATCACCACCTGAGATGAAAGACAAGCTTGCAGTTCCAATTTCTGTTGCTGTGCCATCCGGTGAGGGTTCGAAATCCAATTCTCAAATTGATTCTGTTGATCATTCAGTTTTAGGAGCTTGGCTTGATCAGATGCAACTTGATCAGCTTGTAGCTTAGTGAAAAATTGAATTCATTCTCTCTTTAGTGAGATTAAACAAAACCTAGGAAGTAAACATATTCTTTTGGGATATTTTTGGCTGGTGTGGAAGATGATTTTCAAAAGGTAAGAGTTGAATTTGTGAAGCGTCTGAAGGATAAAAAGATGGCTGAAATGTTTCAGGAGGGTTATTTAAATTTTATCATTTACTGTTATTGTTTGACAGCAGAGGAAGATGATGATGAAGAGATCTGTATCTGGGCTGTATTAAAGAAACCCAGTCCAGGTTGGGTGTATTTGATTCAGTGTTTTTAGAACTATTTTTTTCCTCCCTTTTATTTCCTCTTCAAGGGGAGGAAAAAGGGTTTACTGCCATGAAAACTATAAGCTTTTTATTTTCTGATGTCTTAATTTTTTGTTTTTTTAACATTACCTTTTCGTTGTAAGGAGGGCTTTGTTTGGTTTTGTGGTATCGGTGATAATGCCTTCCATTTCAGAAAGCATTACCAGAGGGTCCAGTAGTATTGGAAAGGGTGGTGGCAATATGTTCTTTTGATGATGTAAAACTGAATTAAAGTTATTATTTTAATACATTCAGCCTCTTTTTTTTTCCTGCTCTCTCTCTCTCTCTCTCTCTCTCACACACGCATGCACACACACAATGCTGATCAAAGCCAATCGGAATAAGCATCCAAACTTGGGATGTTAAGAGTAGTAGCTATTACCACTCTTTCCACACACACTCTCACACACACACACAATGCACCCACCCAAGTGTTACTTGGGCTTATGATTACAATGTAAATTTTAGATGTGGCTGATCAAAGCCAACTGGAATAAGCATCCAAACTTGGGATGTTAGAGTAGAGCTCTCGCCACTCTTTCCATTCGAGTGATTTTGATAGGTACAAATCAGATAGATGATATGAAGGCTTTCAAGGCATTGGGATCTTTGCTTTGGGTAGGTTGATGATGTTATCGATCGTTGATAGTTGTTATATGTTATTTTTAAGGTTTAACTTGAACGTTTTATTTTTCAGTACGATATTAAGTTTTATTTAATATGATAATCTTTTTGTTTTTCCTTGACATAGAAACTTTGTCCTTAGTTTTTAAAATAGATGTTTTTTTTGGGGTTGGGGTTGGGGTTGGGGGGGGGGGGGGGTGTTAACCATTCGAGTTGGTGGTCTAATGGTAAGTTGTACTCATTTAGAGTTTATCTTTGATTTTTATGTGGTTATCAAACGAGATTGAGATTGAATCAACGAGGAATGTAATTTGCTGTTTGAATTTGGTAGTGTTGTAATGACGAGTTATCTATTTAAATTAGTAACTATGGATCAAATTGAACATTTGACGGTAGGAAGACCTTTATGATCACGTCCAAAAGAGATTACGATCATGCCCCTCCTCTTTTTTAATAGCAAAAAAAATAGATGTAGGGGTGTGAAAGCAATAATATATACCTTATTTGATGGCAACCACTCATGTCACAGGTGGGGTCAAAATTGAGGACTTTCGCGTCGCTTGCTTTTAATGGTCGGCTGTGATCTTTGTTGCTTTACTCTAAAAAATTGTGGACATCACTAATATTAACACGGAGTGATTGTAGTAGTCATGGGATGGAAAAATTTTAGAAGATTGTTTAAATGATAAGATTTTATTAATTTAATATCTCGATGATTTTCAGAGTTCTAAGTTAGAAATTTTATAATTTGAGTTGCGGTCACATCCAACCAATTGATGTGAGTGAAATAAGTGATTTTAATAGATGGACCAACAGTGAAACAAGTACCATTGATCATGGACCCACCAATACATGACAAATTTTAAGTGCAGATATATTTTGCTCTAATTTTCTTTTTTATTCTTTTATAAGCTGGTATAATAGGAAGAAATTTTTTGATGTTTTCTATGTTGTAGTCCTTGTCTCCTATAATGTCTAAATATTCAAATTGCTCAACAGTAGGGCTTTGTATAAAACACCCTCAAGCATATCCCAAAATTTTGGGCCACCCACATTGATCTTAAAGCCATTCTTCATGACTTGTGGTCTGAGAGAGATAAGTGACAGATAACTACTATACATCCATTTTGGAGAGGTAATTTCCAAACTCAAACCGTGGCGTACCATTTGATTTGGATGGACGTAGCATTACCATCATCCGGTCCTTTGCGAATGTATATGATTTTCAATTCCTTGAGTTGGTTTCAATACTTTTCCAAAATTTGGAATTCTTAATTCTCATACTAGCATGAAACCAATTTCCAAAATCATCTCATACAACTTATATACAAATGAATTCATTCTACACCAACATATACATGTAGGTTCTGAACTCAAAGCACAACATAGAGAAGGAAAGATATATTGGCCCACTTATTTTGACAGACAAGGGTCAAAAGTGAGTAGAGAGAACTCAATGTGGGCAATATCAAAACAAAAATAAAAAGGAAAAAATATATATAAAAAAGGAGCACTATATCAATATATGAAAGAAATTCAAGGAACTTCATGTTCTAATGGCATCGATCGACCCCTGAGAAAGCGCCAGGGTCCTGTTCCGGTTCCCATCCTGCATATGCAAAGGCAGTAGGTGTCAAGAGCATTAAACTCCTATAAGATCCACATTTAGGTCACTGATTGTTTAATTTATTTTCCTAATGTGTGGGGCATCAAAATTTGCTAGCTAGGGAGTTGTATGTTCTATAGGCAGTACTATGAGGTAGAATGCTAGAAGACATTACCCCTCCACCCCTCGCCATGCTCATATGACAAGATTCCTTAAACAACATAGTGGTGGAAATATATGGGTACGTTTATTTCCACACAAGACAATACCCCTCCCTTCCCATCTTCATATGTCAAATTTCTTTCTCCTAGAGGCACATTCCATGTAGAAGTTATTCCAGAAGAATGGTAAGTTACACAATGTTATTCTTCATAGGGATCAGCTCTGTTGGTGAGGTCACATGGTCGGCCTCTTGCTTTTCTGACTGAACATTCTTTTCTGATATATATATATATATATATATATGTCAAAGGAGCCAATAAAACAAGGCCAAAATTGCTTATGCTCCTTCATCAAAATGATTTAATGCCTTCTGTTCTTGATTCACTGTGACTGATACGTGAATGATATGTGTCAAATCCGTAGCTTAGAAGAGATGGGACTTTTTCTTTTCTTTATTATATTTTTTAATGCTCAAGACTAGGATGTCTGAAAAAATTGATTGTAATTTGTTTATTCATATTGGTATTAACCAAGAAATACCTCCCAACACCGGCAAATGCGCGAAGACCCATATAAATGGTTAAAGCAAGCCATATTCCAACAAAACCACTGGTTTTGGAGAGAATGAACAAGGATCCAATGCTCACTATGGCCACTAGAACCTGAAGAAACAGAAATATTATGGTAAAATTTGTTTAAGGAGCTTAGAGGTAAAAAATAGAGAAAAGAATTTATGTATTTATCTTTTGTTTCTAATGTAGACAAGAGCATGTCGAATTACCATGGAGTACGCAGAATATGCAAAATCAGATGCTCCAAAGTTAACGCCATCAAACACGAAGGCTAATGAATTGATTGGTTGTGTAGCTGCAACAAACTGATGATACGACACAGGTGAAGTTTAAGTTAAAGAATCAGCTGGAAAAACTAAAGAAGAATGAAAAATAAAGAAAGAAAATTTTGTTTTTGGTGATAGATAGAATACCGGGATGCCTATATGTATGAGGTTTATAACATTTTCGTCCTTCGAAAAAATTCCTGATCCAAATTGTAAACCAAGTCCCACAAAAGCCGCGAGACCCAGGCCTAGTACAAAACTCATCTGCAAAATAAAAAAATGAAATGGTTAAGACTTTGTCCATTGCAAGGTTGTGTTTATTATGCCCATGAAACATTTGCATGTGTTAATGAAGTTTTGTTATGGACAATGAAGGATAATTAAGGAACAGTACTTGTGATCAGAAAGCATCAATATCATGTATTACAATGACAATTGAAAGAGGTATTTCGGCTGCTACATTCAAAAAACGTACCTGTAAAACACGAGATGCAGTGGCTGTTGCCTTCTCATAGTCCTTCGCAGCAAATGCACAGGCAAGGATTGCCTAAAAGAGTGGGAGGCAAACAGATTAATGATCGATCAATCATTTGATACTGCAATAAAAAAAACCTTTAAAAAATTTCCTTTACGATTGATCATGTGTTTAAGGCAACAAGAATGCAGGATAACTTGAAAAATACATTTTCAGAATGCAAGTACTCATAAGAGACAGGATTGGGCACATGATACTGGTTGAAATAGTGATTTCTATTTCACATTCAAATGTGTTAATGTATGGTGTGTTCGGATATTGTATTCACATCTAATTTTTCAAGTCAGTTGTCTACCTTTTGTTGCATTGCACATTCATATTCTCCAGAGGTTATCATTTTTTAACCTAAGGGAAAAGTGCAAATTAGCCAGTTTTAGGATAGACAAGAATGTGAGGGCATCAAACACTATTTCCAATAGAAAATTTTTTTCTCATCTCCTCTGTAAACACACATAAGCCACTGATTGTTCTCTTTGTTAATTTCTTCACTGGTTTTCTGGTTCGAAACTAGAGCTGCAGATAAACAAGTTGTTCATGAACTGTTTGATTAGCTTGGTCAGTAATAGGCTTTTTGAGTGTCTATGGATAATGAATGCTCTTGGATCACAGGTTTAAGTTCATTTGATAGACAAGCCATGCTTGGACAGAGAATGAGTCATCTCGTCTAAAGCTCCACACCTCCAAGGGACTTTGGAAAGTAGCCAAGTATATGATTATATTCTTTATTGTAAGTAATGTTTCTTCCAAACCATATGGTGATCATTTATATTTTCTGTTATCCCAAGTCAATGGTACGTAACAAGTTATCTTCATTTTTAGTACAATTTACATATCATATATTTCATTGGCTCAAGCAGCTCAAATTGATGCTTGAGCTTGAATTTCAGCTTGGCTCTTTTACAGCTGAGCTTGTGGTCATCCAACTTCAGTCAAGCCAACCTCAGACATGTATACGTAAGTTTTAAATTGAGATGCCTAGTTCTTCTGATAGCCTCTACAGACGGACATATGTGCCTAATGATGGTCTTCTTGTGTTGTGCTCAAATTTGTTCTTAACTGGTTCCATGCTTTGTTCTAAAGTCTTCAGTTTAAAAACAAATTTGCCTTTCTAACAATGAGCCAATTCGTAAAGTTACTATTTAGTGGAGAGAGAGAGAGTGAGAGAGAGGGAAAAAGAAATGCCCTTTACCTGTCCAGCAACAGCCAAGCCATCAGCAAGAAGCGATGATGTCATCCAGACCTGTAAGCAAATTTGAAAAGCAGCCATGGGTGTTGGGCCAAGCCTTGCAGCCATCGATGCAGCCAAAGTTACACAGAATGTCACAGCTATTACCCTTGCCAATAATAAAAAACCTATGTCCAAGCACAAAAACAAAATTCAACAGGATAAAATGGGAGCTGACTTGCAAATGATCAGCACTTAATCAGAAGGAGATGCAAGTGAAGTTGAGTTGTCAGACTTGGGTAATCTGTTCAACAAAACTGAGTAACCATTTAAAGAGTGGTTATGAGAAAATTGACATTTTAGAACACAATTTTTTTGTGCAGTAACTACAACAGCTCAAAGCAATTATGTAGTTTCAATACAAAACAGGCCCCTAAGCTCTGTTCCACGGAGTAGAAAATGGTAGTGGAGCATGCACTAAACCTCTTACCATTTTTGAGAAATCGACTGAACTGCAAGTCTCTAATACTCGGGGGTAATAGGTCAACCTTCGTCATCAATTTCAATAAAAGGATCAAAGAAATTAAGTACCTGTAATGAACAATACTCATTAGTAAACAAAAATGAAGAAAATAACTTGGGATATCAAGAAATTGAAGTGATTTAACAAATGCAACCAATCCAGCAAAAAAGTGTTCTATTCAATTTAGAGTTCCAAAATACAATACTTACTGAGAAAGAACATGTGCAATGGCTGCACCACTAACTCCCAAGCGGCATGGAAAGATGAGGATAGCATCCAAAACTATATTTGTTAGATCTCCGGCAACTATATTAGACCAGAAAGATGAATTAAGTTAGTTCCAATGACCACAAATTTCTAGCAAATAAGCTGTCAGATTTCTTTCCTGTTCTATGTGACAGCTGATAGAGTAATGTCAAATTCAAGGTGCATTAGTACACAGATATAAAGTCACATTGATGTCTTCATTACTCAAATATTAAGTTTTTCTCCTTTTAAAGGAAGAGAAAAAAAAAAGAAAAAGAAAAATCCATTTACCAGTGGCAAACAAAGGAGTTTTGGTATCCTTAAAACCTCGAAAGACACCTTGCATGGCCAAAGAAAGAAGAACTGCAGGAGCACCGAGTGATCTTACTGTCAAATACCTTTGTGCAGGCTTTAGCATAGGAGAGCCCTATTCAATTTAGATGAAATAAAGCTGAATTAGTTTTCATCATCACATAATGGTAAATTGATTAATGGAAGCCAACAACTTTTCACAAATAGTGGGGTTAGACCTTTGGCATCTGCTCTGCAGCTATTCGTAAGTTATTACCATGCCAGGACACTTATTCGTTTGTGTAAATATAGACACAGGCACAACCAGCCACAAACTAGGCCACCAAAACCCAGTAGAAAATGAAAATTGAAGTTTTCGTAGTTCAAATTTGAATCCAACTTATTGAGATGAAATAGATATTTGCTTTAGATTGAAAACATATCAGATGAAACACACATGAACATCTTGAAATTATATTGCTTAGTCCTTATATCCCTTCGAAGCATGCCTTGAATAAGAATCACAGAGTGAATAAAGAAGAGCAGGAAGAATCAAAACTTGACTAAGCCAAAATAACTTCATTTAGTTCACAGTCAGAAAACAAATGGGGACAAAATGTTTCACAGTTGAATCATATTGCTAATATTCATGATGAAGACACTTACAGATTTCACACCCATGAAACCCAAGATTGGTTTTGCAAGAAATATAAGGAATATAGTTTGGAGAAGGCCAAGCACAGCACCAATAACCAGTGCGGTTGATGCAGAGGGGATATGTCGCCTCTCGTTTTTCAGTTTACCCTTCTTTGGGTTGTTACTTGTAGCAGTTGGAGACTTGTGTGCAGTTATTATCAAATCTGTATAAGAAGACACCAATCAAGTAATGCATGTTGAAATTGTGTAATTAAGGTTGCTAATCATCAAAAGGCTTACAGTACTGAACAATCCACAAATCACAGTGGTCAATTGTTTTTTTTCCCCTCTTCTATTGATAAAACAACACGGGCATTAGATGTCCACCAATGTCTCACAAGATTATCATTAATCTGATCTTCTACCTAAGTTTTTCATGACAGAGAGAGAGAGAGCATAGGCATACTGTCATCTGGCATCAACTCCTTTGTTTCACTATTTGTGGTTGAACTCTTTTCCAGGTTCTCAATCTCAACATCATCTGGCATCAACTCCTTCATTTCATTGTTGTTGGCTGAACCCTTCTCCAAGTCCTCATCGTTTGGCACTTTACCGGTTATTCTCTCAACAGTATCTTCCTCAGCCACAAAAGAAGTTGTAATGCTAACAAGTGGGAATATAGTAACCTTTGAGGCTTGATTGAAAATGGCAATAGAAACACCCACAGCTGCAATCTCCACAGGACCTATATATAAGCATATAAATATGGGCTCAGAGACCAAAATATGCACAGCAAGGTATTATTCCAAGAATTTATTACAAAATAGAGCAAACCAGCAGGAAAAAGGACAGCAAAATCTATGAGATTAAGCATGACAAGGGATGAGAAAGCTTAATCATTCACGTAATAGTTAGCAGTAGGTCAGTTTTCATTTGGATGACTGCTTGATGGTCACAATGACACTTAAATGAGTCCCATGATGTGAAACCTTGTACTACACCGCACAAACCACCTATCCAAAGACAGGACATGTCCCGTGAAATGGAAAATTAAACTTTTTCATCCATATTAGACTGCAATCGTTTCAGATTATGCTATCATACGTGATTTTTGGTTCTTTTGTTGAAGGAGGTCAACCAAGCAATAGGAAGGTTGAAGGATGCACCCTGTACAGAGGGAAAGTAGAACATTATTCTTGGTCAAGCTTGACATGGAATTTTTAGACTGTTTTGTCTGATACTGTTTAATATAGATGAGGTCTTCCAAACAAAATGGCCAAGAAAGAAGCTTTAGTGTGTCACCCTCCAATGAGAGCCATTTTATGCTGGTTTGTTGCTAAATTTCCCTGCAGAATGTATCAATCAAGAGATTTCATTTAACTGTAAAGTCCAATCACATCTTCGTCTAGTGAATTCACTAACAGAACAAATAGAATGCAACGAAACACATGAAGCATTTTACCGGAGAAACAAATAACTAAGATGTCGACTAGCCTAAATTGTGACATGCAGTTTCCCATGAGCAACTGTGAGAACTCAATAGGGGAAGATGCTACGGCAATTTCATACATCATATGCATATCCAGTAGAGCACTTCCAGATTATGGGCACCAGGGAATTATGGAAACATTCATATTAACATCTGCAGTCCATTGGTGGCATGAGACACCTACGGGAAAGAACTTTAAAATGGCTGTTACGAGGTGGACTTGAAAAATGAAGCTGTCATGATGGAATCTACCTATCCAAGTCATGATAACCATTATGGAGGTTATGTTGGATTCCAATTTCTGAAACCAGGTACGAAATTATTTCTGTTAAAGCAACGAACTCAAAATCGACTGACAATGGGAGGAGACTGGAGAGGCCCATAACACTTATAAATTGTATACCATAATGACAATTTTAAGGCTCATATAAGCATACACAATCACACCATGCATTCATTGCAAGAGATTTCTGAAGCAGAAGCCAGGAAATTCAGACAAAAATCAAATGTAAAAGCAGACCTAAACGGCCAATGAACACAGTGTCAATCAAAGAAGCAATAGGATCAGCAGCTAATGCCAAGGCTGCAGGTAATGCAATTTGTAATATCTCCAATCCAAGCGCATCCTTCTTGAAAACAAGCCTAAGAAACAGTTCCAGAAACAAGCATCAGAAAACCAGTACTTCGAATACAAGTTTCTTTTGTATCTTGTACTTCTGGAGACAAAACTCAAGTTGATCAACTAGCAATGGCCCTATGAATTATGAACACTAATCAAGTCCTGCAGAAAAGCATTGCAATTACAGCTAAACTCAGAGGTGTCAAACCTCAGTTTACTCTGTCTCCAGAGATGAATTTGATTCCACAGATCAAATTTCATTTCGGTGCATGGTTTTTGTCAGCTTGGAAACCAAAATAGTTCTGAAATATCTTGAAAACGTTTCGGAAATAGAATGGTAATCAACAAAAAATATGAAAATTTGTTTTGGTGACATCCAAAACATCCTGAAATATTTTAAAACATTTTGAAACATCTTAATTTCAGTGTTCAGTCACTATTTTGTTTCGGTTTCCATCAAATCGTAACACTTCGGAAACGAAACGAAATTTTGATCTTGATTCTAACAAGCATTACATATATGGCCTTCCCCTCAAAATACACTGTTTCATGTCTCTCTCATAAAACCTCTAATTCTTTTCTATCCAAGCAGTATAACAAACAGAGCTAAACATAAATTTCCAAAGACATTTTTAAACTATACCTTGCATCTTCAAAGAAAACAAAGAGTGGTATCCTCCACTTTCTCTCTGGGGGAGGCAGATCACCATCCTCAGCCATGATTCACAAAGCCCAGAAACCTCAAAGGTCCAATAATATTAAAAATAGGGACAAGTGCTTTCAATGCAGATCAATTAGAATTATGTTGCCACCTGAAATATTCAGTTTTCACAAGTTAAAATCAACAACCTGCATAGTGCATAATAAATCAGGGATGAAGGGTCCATGATAGTCAAGAGTTTGGTCAGTTTTAAAACAAAAACGTTTCAAAAATAAATAAAAATTTTAAATTTATTTCTAAAACATCGATCACAACATCGAAACCACCTCCAAACATAAGAATTTCAATATTCACTCACCAATCCGTTTCAGTTTCCACGCAAACAGAAAAGTTTCGCCATTTTAAAATGAAATTTAATTCCTTCGTTACCTTTTCAGCTAAAAAAAAAATGGGAACAAACCCAGAAAAATGAATGCATAAAGTTTGCAGCAACAAAAAGGACTTACATGGAGAGAGAGAGATAGTATGAAGTCCTGCAGAAAGATGACAGAAAGAAAAATGGAAAAAAAAATAGCAGGAATCTGAAGACATGCAATGGAAATGGAGGGTTAGTACTAGCAAACAAAGCAAGATTAATAGAGAAGTTGAGAAGGAATTGAAGCTGACCCTTTTTGTTAACTCAGACAAAGACAAGTGCGAATACATCAGTGAACAACAAAATCTAAGGGAATTTATAGCGTATTACTAAGTGGGCGATGGTATTAAACTCCGTCGCGTATTGGAAGGACGTTGAACCCTCCACTTCCTTTTGCTTTAATGACAGAGCATTTACAATTGAAAAAGATTAGGCACTGAAAAAGAATCTCTTGAGATTATATCACAAAGAATTTATGTTGCGTGAATATCTTAATTCTCACATGAATGATTATATTTTATCGGATTAAAAAATGGATTAGTTAAAATCCGTGTAAATTGATCCAAATAATCATTTAACCAAAAAAGACAAAAAAAATAAAAAAATTAGCACCTGTTATTTATTAATTTTGTAATTTCTTTTTATAAATTTATGAGTGTTATTTATAATTTTTAGGAATTTTTTGGGGTTAATCCCAAAGTTGTATGATGTCCAAAAAAATTATAATTTGAGCCATAAAAGTGTAAAATAATTTTAATGATCAAAATTTTATTTTGATGCATTATTTATGTCACCTGAAAAACGAAAAGAGAATATTTTGAAGACGTTTTGAAAGCATAATAAAAATGTAAAAAAATTTAAGAATTTATTTCTAAAATATCTTGATATATTGGTTAAAATATACCAAAATATGTTGAAGCATCTAGAAATATTTTGAAACAATGTAAAAACATACTCAAAAATCTCAAATTATATAAAAACATTTTGAAACACCTCGAAATTTAATTCTATTAATTCGTTTCGGGTTTCTTAAAAACAAAAATGTTTTGGATATTTTTGACCATTTAAAATAAAATTTTTATGCTTAATTTTGAGATAAATTCCACAAAATTAATTGCATGAATACTCAGTTCTGCAATACCATGATAACGACGTAGCAATGTACAAAAACATCGGTCAAACGAAACAATTTGGAAAGACAAAGAGGGACATGTTGTCCAAATCTCCATACATAACCCTCCACTTCTTGGTGTCTTCCCTAGATAATGCCTAATATGAATAAAAAACAAAGTGTTATATTATATTATTTTCACTTATGAATTTGGTATTATATTATTGATTTTACAATCAAGTTTTATTTATTCAGCACACAATAAAAACACGATATAAATCTAAATTTAAAAGACTCGACGTAGAAACACAATACAATGTTGTCACAACGTCTCGCCATAATAAGTGTAGCCGCAAAAAATTTTATGGCGAGAATGACCTGTCTGAAATAATATTTGCGATAACAAATAAATTTTTTTAACAGTATTGTCACTACAATAATAAAAAAGAAAATTCTTCAAAATTTGTTTTTTTTTTACGGTGAACATAAATGCCATAAAAAACTTTTTTCAAAAGATCATAATTCTTGTAGTAACTATTCGCCTGTGTGTGACGTGTTAAAGCTTCAAAATTCTTAAGAAATGCACAAAATACAAATTAAAAGAAAAAGAAAAAGAAAAAAGAGAAACATCTTGGAAGCTTACACATGACTTTAAAGCATCACCTAACAAGAAGAAGAAAGTCCTTACCTTTAGTGTACTAAAAGGACCAAATATTAATCATAGTTGCAAGGGGTAGCGATCTCCAAGTTTGTGAACCTGAAATAACAGTGTCAGAAAAAAAGTATTTAATCCTCTCTGAAGTTTAAATCAATATAAGGTCGAAAAGTTTTGCTCAATAGACTATTTTTTTCATTCGAGTTTGCGTACCTTTGTCTATTTTTTTGAGTATTTATACCTGAATTAGCAATGATTGCTAAAGATCTCTAGTCTCATCTGGATATCTTACATCTAGAACATCATTCCTCGTGCAATGAGTGTTTTTTATTCACGTCTCCTCTTATTGAATGCTAGGAAAATGTGCCGAGCATTTACGCCACTTCCCGAGTACCCAAATCTCCCAGATCGGCATCCGACATCAACTGATCATTGAATACTTAAGGGGGAACAGTTCCTCGAGGTAGCAGATCGCGTCGTTTCGGCGCATTAGCCATTAATGCTTAGCTATTATGACAGTAGGTTTAGACTCCCAGAGGGCAGGTGATGGCAGACGCGCATTTATTTGTCTTGTCACTGTCACTCATTCCATCATAAATGAGGGGTCACATCGCATTAAATACGATGTCAGCCGTTGTACTCGGCTGCTCCGTGTCACCATACCTCGACGCCCCTTGGACATCCCAACGGCTTCATTACTCCACGTGTCAACCCGGGGGTTGTAGAGCTACCTAGAGTCCAGCAAACTGCCCCCCAGCCGCCATCCTTTTCGCAGGGTAAGACAAGTGGCGTAAAGAGATTGGGGGCTCCATCATCACGCCTTATTAATAGTGACGGTTGCTTGCACGTCTGGTGCCGCCCTTTTCAAATGCCCCAACGTTGACCCAACTTTTCGATTTCCGCTCCTTGTGAGGCAGTATAAATAAAAGGTTTTCATACCTTCTCAGAACTTTTGCATCCTTAACCTCTCTTCGGCAACCAGACCCCGAGTGCTCCTCTGTTCTTCTCCGAGTTTCCTTCGTCCTCCGGGCTCTCTCTTTGAAGACCACCTTCCTCTAAGTACTTCCACTTGAGCTTTTTCTCTCTTCATTTCCTCTACATTTCGTCCTTTTAGCGCCCACCAATGGCTTGAGGAGAATCCAAGTGATTGATGAGAATATTCAAGTCTTTAGGATTAGGTACCACATCCGTGAGCCTGTCTTCGCTTTCCCCTTCAACCCCACTCTCTATAGGAGGGATATGGGGAATGTAGACATGATGCCTTTCTGAACGAAGGCCATCATGGAAGGAGGGTTGACCTTCCCCCTTCATCCCCTATTGCTAGGAGTGTTGATGCAACTGAAGCTTTTTCCTCTTCAATGTGGGGTTAACTTCTTTAGGATTGTGATGGGCGTAGTCGCCTTAAACGCTCGGCTGGAGACCAACTTAGGAGTAGATGACATTTTATTCTGCTACGACATGAGGCTAGTCGTCGGGGGGCGATATTACCTCCAGGCTCGAGACGCCTCAATGTATCTAGTAACCCACATGCCCGACTCAGACAGGGATATGTTGACGATTTGATCATGCTCGGCAGTAGTTGGGAGAAAGGGACCGGGCCCGAGTATGACGGATTGTACTGCCCTAAAGTGCCGAGGGATGAAGGTGTGTTTTCTTTCCGACTTCTTGATTTATCTATTCTTGGGTCTAAGGGATGTACTGATTTTGCTTTGTTTTCGCAAAAGGATATCGCCGGGACGTTGTTAAACCGTTGAGGTCCCAAGTTCGGTTTGTTGACCTGCTAAGGGTTTGGTCCTCAGACCCTGTTGAATGAGCGGTGCATACTATCCTCGGCTACACACCGACCTACAGTCGATTCTCCCAGATCCCACCTCATTTCAACCCTTTTGTTTGGGAAGACCATTCCTTGTCGAAAGAGGAAGAATTCGAAGGAGATTCCGAAGAAGAGTCTAATCATCACGCTTCCGAGCCACTTACGCCTGAGATGTTTAATCCGTCACCAATCACTGCTGCAACAATAGAGGCCGCCGCAGCGGCAAGGAAAGTCAGGCTCGTTGGGTTGGCCGGGCCTTTCAACACTGCCCCCATTATCCCCCCGTCTAGTTCTCCTCGGAGGCAACCGCCCCCTCCCCCGCCACGTCCGTAACCATCCAAGGACTTGGTCGTGTCGACCAAGCAAAGGCCCCAATCTCAACAAGTCCCCACTCTGGGAGACCGACTGAGGGACAGGCGTGCCCGGGATGTCGAACAATCTGAGGAGCACAGCGTGAAGCGGCGGCATGACGCACCAGCCCCGGGCCTGGGCCCATCTGTCTCGGGCGAATGGGTTCCTCGGGCCGAGACCAGGAGCGACCGCCCTGTCCTAGAAGTCGACTTTATCCTCTAGTCCCCAGAAGTGACATTTGCCGTCGTAGGGACGCTTCAATTTGATGCCGATATGGCCGTGTACAAAGGTTACTTAGACAATCGGCTTCTGATGAGTATAATCCAAAACAACCTGGTGGTAAGTTTAACACATTCCCGAGTATTCCCCGCACCCTTTTGGTCGTTCCCTAATATTCCTCTCTTTTTCAGGCCAGCCAGCAAATGGGGAACCATAATTGAATATTTTTGGGAATATAACCAAGAGGCGAAGAACATCGAGCGAGCCGCAGCTGCCAAGGACGACCATATCCTCAAGGTCGAGAGGACCCTCGACGACCAAACCAAGCACATCGCCGAGCTCATCCACCACCGAGATGCAGTTCATGCTGAGCTGAAAAAGACCAAGGCGGGTGAAACTGCGATGATAAAGAAGACCAAGGAGTACGAGCTACGAGTGTCCTCCTTTGAAGCCAAGTTGCAAGAGTCCGAGTCTGTAATCAACGCTCTTACTGCCAAAGTGAACTCCTTGACAGTAGAGAAAGCGGGGTAGCAGGAAAGGCTGCAATCGGAGTGTCAGAGGGTGTGGCGCGGCCACTCAAGACCAAATGGTCCCCACTTTCGAGGAAGTCAAGAATAAGGCTTTCAAAGAAGGTTGGGACGCCGCCCTTCACGCCTGCTATGTCGAGGTGGGCTCAGACTTGTTTGCCATGCACAGCCTTCGAAGGGAGGCCGATGACGAAGCCCTGGACGAACAGGTCCGATTCAAAGGGCCGGTCGGGGCTGAAGGTGGAAACGAACTCATCACACTCAGTGACGATTCTGACCAGCCTTCTCCTGCCCTTCCGTCTTTTCCACCTGCTGAGCCAACAGATGACCTGCCCTCTCCGCCCCCATCATTATTGGGGTGTATGATACCGAGTTAGATGAGATATTGGGGGTCAGAGACGAGCTAAAAGGCGACGTGGAGGCCTTGACGGGGGAGAAGCTGGGGAGGAATGAGCCGAGGGCCTTAGCAGCTAGTGGCCTTAATCACTTCTATGTTCCGTATTTGTTTCGTAGCTCTTTGTAGCTCTCATTTGTACATAATTTAGCTACTGTTTGTATGTCTGGGGAAGCAAAGCCCCTTTTTGATAATGAACTTCATTTTTCTACAAGTGTCTTTTTTTTCCTACATCAATTGTGTTTCAAGAAAATGGCCCTGACGTTACGTCAATAAGGACCTTCTGAAGTAGCAAGGCTTCACATTGAATGCATAAAAGTAAATC